CCTCACGGTTACCAGTCTCATGATTCCTCTGTCTCTTGTATGTAGGTGTTCTTATACCCCCATTGACACAGTTTAGAGTGGCTTTGGACCTGACTGCCAGGGCCAGTTCGTCTGACAGGGATACAGCACCCCAGTAGAAGACCGAGCTACTCGATAAATATTCCCTCCTCCCTTGAGAATCGAACTAGGGTCCTTTGCGTGGTAAAAGGTTTTAACTGCGAAACCAAAGATGCCGGCTAACTCACATTGACTCTTGAAGATGCACATTGGGTTACAAATAAGTAAAGTAAAGTCGTTCCCGCATCCGATCCGGACATTGGGGATTGCCTTGTTAGTGAGACAACTTTCTGGGCCTTCGGCATATTGTGGTAGGAAAGGCCAGTTCCCTTCCACGCCGCCTTTGCTTCCCCAACTCGAAGTCAGGTACCCATTACTGCTGGGTGGGCAAGAGGTGGTGAAAAAAAAAATGTGTTCGAACCGAGGCTCGAACCTGGAGTTTCCGCTTTGGAGACGAGCGCACTAACCGCTCCGGCGCCACACCCTCACGTTACAAGTACTGTAGAAATTATCTAAGATAGCCACCCACGGCTGAGGACATTTTTTTTTTTTAATGCAGGTGGACGTTTTAAGTAGTAATAATTTAATAATGATATGATTTTATACAGTGCAACATAAATCTATTAATAATAATTATTAGAAATATACATGAACAAATCAACCGAGTAATTAAAAAAAACCAAACTAACAGACAACCGACTAATCAAAAAACTAAATACAGAAAGGACGGAAGAAAAGAAAAAGGGAAAGAAATGATTAGAATGAATTAGTGAGCGTGTCTGCGAGTTTGTGAGTGTGTGTGTTTGTGTGTGTGTGTGTGTGTGTGTGTGTGTGTGTGTGAGTGTGTGTGTGTGTGTTTGTGTGTGTCGGGGAGGGGAGGGGAGGGGAGGGGGGGCGAGGGGACATAAATAAATGATAGACGGATTTGTACAGTCGAACCTGATCAAACTGCCAACTCTATAAGGCAATCACTTGAAGAAACATCCACATTCTATTCCTCCTCTCGAGTTTTGTTCAACATTAGAAAAAATGGAATCGTGTAAGACGTCCACTTGTCCAAGACAGCAACTTTTCTTCTCGACAGAATGAGTGGCTGTGTTGGACATTTTCAAACTGTATGTTAGGCAGCGTGGTGGAATCAGGCTCCCCTCAGTTTTTGGGCATGTAGAGTTGTTGGTGTCATCTTAAAGCCTGTTCTTTCGTCTATCTTAAAGTGAAAAAAGTACCCATGTATCTTTAATAGAATTCGAAACATTTGTGATTGAAGTAAGTAGGGTAACCTGTTTTCAGAGGAAAAATAAGGGAGAAAATGGCCGCCAAAGCTTGGTATTTTTCAATGCGTGAGAGTCTTTTGAAAACTGAAAAAGTACATGTTTTGCACCTTTAATCGACGTTTTTCGGGATAATCCACACAAAAATGTATTTTTAAGTGGACATAAAAGCTGTTGAGCTTAAAAACAAAAAATTGATAAAAATTGTCAAAACGGCACAAAAATGCCAATATCTTTGATTTAATTATTTTGACGAGAGCCTGATTCCACAACGCTGCCTCAGAACTCAGAATCATTCTGTTCTCCTACCCGAGAACTAGATGGCGCTGCTCTCTAGCTGAGTTCGAAATATGAAAACCTCATTCCTTTATCGACTGCATTCGAGGATAAAAAAATGAACCCAGCCTAAGCTCATACGTCAGGATTGAAAACCTGTGACAAGCTGATTAGTTCATTGATGTAGGGACGTGAGTTAAGAGGGGTGAGCAGGGTACACCGAGTTTCCATACCAGTTTATTAAAGGCTTGTAGTTCATGATTACTCTTCTGTCTCTGCCTCTGTCTGCCTCTGTCTCTCGGTTCTTCTCAATATTTCTGTCCCTGTCTCTGGTCTAACTCTCTCTCTCTCTCTCTCTCTCTCTCT